GAATACAGAAATTAGGCGTTCTATTATGAGCCGAAGGGACTCAAATTCACGGAACTTATCGGATTTTCCTAGTATTAAGGTCAGCAAATTTTGTGTTCTTAAGAATGAATGAAGTTTTTAAGCTTATCTATACCACAAGAACCTATCTGCATATTAGAGTAATTGGCCTAATTAGAAAAATAAGAAATTTTTGACATAAATGTCATTTTTATTATTAGGTCATAGCAACAGCAGTAGCAATTCGCTTGAACTATCTATAACCCTCTCATTAATATGAACAATTTATCATTTTGGTCATTATGCCAGGAGCTAAATAGAAAATGTTCTAGCGACAATAATTTTTGGATTGACCTAGACAGATAGTGGTGGCATGCACTTACGTTTAATTACAAAAAGCTGTGATTAGGAAATTTAAAATGTACAATTTGGGAGAAAAGTAGTTAGTATATCTATATATAAAATAAGCTTTTGGGAAGAAATATTTAGTTAAGTGTATAACTACAACTAGTATTGCGATGTTTACTTCCTATTAAGTTATATCTACAATTTGTTTGGTAAAAATCTTTTCAACACTCCAAATATTGTGAAAATCAGAATAAGGCGCGTGCAGACTTCAACGAAAGGCATAAAATGGCGTTTAGAGTGCTTGCAGCAATTACTTGTACGAATGTCCATCAACAACAAATTTATATAATGTAGTAGTAGCCTGTAATTCTCATCTATGATTTTGTTTAGTATATTTCTTAATTAATTTAGCTGTAAAGCGAAATGATTGTCTAAAAAGTGTTATTGATGAGTAGGTAGCATGGTTTCGTTGGCTTTAGGCTAAACACAGATCTTAAAATTCTGTCAACTATGTTCATGACAGTTGTTGTATTTCTCCGCATTTGCTATCAGCTTGTTAACTATAAAAGTAAGTTGAGTAAATATGACCTATTCGGGAGTGGTGAAGGTAATTCACATGACGTTAATAACTGGAAATTTTTAATTCGTGTGGTAAGGACAAATATCGCTTATGAGGAACTCATCAAGTTATTTAATTACTTTGAACTAATATCATTTGTGGAAAGCCACTGTTTCCGATAAAACAGACCATTTATTAATGTTGGTTTTGACTTATTTCCGCAATTAGGTAGCGGCAACAAGTAGAATTTGTGGAACCTACCTGATCCTTAAACTAAGCTTTCTTGAAACTATGAAATATAAAGCATTTACTTACGAGTATCCATATCTAGCTCAAAATACCTTAAATATTTTTTAGCAGCAATATTACTTAAGCTGGAATAGGAAAGAATACTACGGATATGTACATATGCTGAATATATAATCATTTTTTTATTTAACAATTCCCTTAATCTTACCAGGCCTGGATCACGGCTCTTGGCACAGCTTCTAGCGCAGCTACGCTTCCTATCACATTTCGCTGCCTGGAACAAAATCTTGGCATTGATAAACGTGTTACACGCTTCGTTCTACCAATTGGAGCTACCATTAACATGGACGGAACGGCACTCTACGAAGCCGTAGCTTCAATCTTCATCGCCCAGATCAACGGTCGTGAACTGGGAGTCGTTCAAGTTTTTGTTGTAAGGTAAGATCGCAACCATAAAATGGACTCGAGTCATTTTCCCCATACAATTGGTAATATGACTTAAACACTAATTCACTTCAGTACCATTATAGAAGATAGTCAGGAAAGCATGAAATACTAATAAGTATTAAATACTAAAACAAGAATTAGGCTACCTGATG